TTTCTTTTGCTTACATTAAGAGACAAATCAAAGAAATGGCAATGCTTGAATGGCTGGAACACATCTTTGAAAATGGAAGTGATGTAAATCACTACTCTCAATTCAATTCAAAACCAAAGTGGAAAGCTTGTCCACTTTCATTTCCCAAACAGATTTGGTCAACAATTATTCAGTTGAAATTGGGTCATGGTTACTTTGGTTCTTACTTAATAAGACTACCAAATCATGATAGGAAAATCTGCAGACACTGTGACTGCAAAGAAACACCAAAACATTTGCTCATGGATTGTTTAAGTCTGAAAGATGACAGACAACAGTGTTTGAAAGAGTTTAAAATTCCACAACTGTCACTTGAGTTTCTATTTAACACTGAATTGAATTTGAAATGGATGGAAAAGTTTCTCAAACAAACTGGAATAGTCACCAGAAGATGGCTTCTGAATGAAACAGACTGAGTATCTTTAAAGATCTCACTTACAATCTCATTATTTGTTTTCAAATTTCTGTGGAGGAAAGACATAAATCACTGCCCTGACACTATTGTATGTTTTTCATTTGTTAATTTGTCTATGATCATGTCTCTGATCATTGTTTTTGTAACTTAGTTAAATCCTGCAAGACAGCTTGCAGGTAGTCTTCATAGTCTTGACTGCACAAGACTATAATGAATAATAATAATAATAATAATAATAATAGATTCTTTATCACAAATGCAATCAATTTTCAATGTTTCAGAGCTGTAGTGAATGTAGTTGTGTTGTGATGATCAGACAAAGTGTCTGGGTAGTCAAAACTGACAACTCAGTCTTTGGTGTGAGAATTTCCACCCCCCACAGTGAATTGTCAGATAAAAATGGAGAGAATAAGTAAGTGAAACAAGAGCTTTTCAATAAATATATTTTCAGTAAATTTGACCTAGAATTGATGGTCTTTCATACCAAGTTCTGTGCATGCCATGCTTCCACCCACCACAATGAATTGCTGAGTGAAAATGAAGAGAATAACTAAATGAATCAAGAGCTTTCTAATAACTATATTTTCAGTAAATTTGACTTAGAATTGATGGTGTTCCATATCAAGTGTGAATGAGTATAATAGAGTTTGGTGAAAGAATTATGTAAGATCAGACTCAGACTCAGCTTTGATGTTGATGATGAGTGTTTAGTAAGTCAGAAACACAAAAACTCTACACAAAAACTCTACACAAAAACCCTTCACTCTGAAAAACTGATGAAGAGACAGCAAAACTGAGTGAATATTTGATCAGTTTAAGAATGTAAGTATTTTTCTCTTGAATATAGATTCTTTGTCACAAATGCAATCAATTTTCAATGTGTCAGAGCTGTAGTGGATGTGATTATATTGTAATGATCAGACAAAGTGTCTCAGTAGTCAAAACTGACAACTCAGTTTTTGATGTGAGATTTTTCACCCACCACAGTGAATTGCTAGGCAAAAATGAAGAGAATAACTAAATGAAACAAGAGCTTTTCAATTATCATACTTTCAGCAAATTTAATCTAGAATTGATGATGTTTTATATTAAGTGCTGTGTCACTAAATATTCATCTGCTTTGAGCACCATTCTATACAGCAAAAGAGATCATATGGTGAAAATGCTTATTTAAAAATATCACATTGAAATTGAGAAGAGATTTTAATCTTTTATATGATAATTTGCAAACAATACATTTACTGATTTCAGTAGCTTTACAACTAATTAGTAATTATCAAGCTTCACCATGTTGATCTTCATTATCACTGATTATGACAGACAGTTACTAATAATTAATTGAATATTAGCTAAATTGAAAGTGATAATATATCTGCATATAATTTAATAAAGATCTTATCTAGACAGAAATTTAAAAAATTCATAAAGCAATTAGGACTTATGAATATTAATTATTTAATAGAGAAGAGTTTGTCATAGACTGACTGCAGAGACAGAAATTTCCCAACTGAAATTCTGTTTCTAATGCACTAATGCAAAATTGAGATGGGACCAGAACTTGATGGTTCAAACTGAAATGAAACTGAGACTTGAGTTTCAAGTACTAAGATGGAAATGAAACTTAATTTAAAGAGATTGAGATTATTTAATTAGAAATAGAAATTCCCAATTTCCCTAAATCTAAAATAAAATCTTATTTTATACTATATTTAGTATCAAAATCATATATAAATGTATATATGCATTTTGACTTGATGTGCCAATTTTTCTATTTTGTCATATTTTGATGTAAAAATACACTTTCAAAATAAAGTTTGAAAAAAATTAAAGTTGTTCTAGAGATAGAAAAATCTAGAGATGGAACTTCAAATATAAAATTTGAAACTAAAAAGAGAATGGAACTTTTATTCATCTTTTGGACTGGAATTGAAACTAACTTTTAAATTTTGAGAAGAAATTTGGATCAACTCATTTGAGATTGACATTCAGTCTTGTTCCATTGAGATTCTAAAGAGATCTCAACAGTCAGTCTAGTTTGTCATCTACATCACTGTCAAAATTATAGAGATGTGTTGAGCAGAAGTTAGATGACTTATTAATAATCAGATCTCTAAAAGACCAGACACAATATTATAGACTCTCAGTCACATGATCCTCACGTGTTCCTGTCAGTCACATGATCCTCACGTGTTCCTGTGTCGTCTGATAGAAACTTTGGTTCATGTTACGTAGTACTCCATACTTCGGAGAATAACTACGTCATCCGACAGTACGCCAACCATCCCTCCTGCTCTCCGCACTCGCGCCACCACGCCACGGCCCACTATTTAACTACCAAGTACCTAGCTTCAACCTTGAAAACCGAGCTTCATCATTCCTCCACTGATCATTACCATCGTCAGAGAAATTATTTCGGATAGAAAACTAACTTGAATGTTCGAAATGAACTCAGACAATATGCAACCTGATTTGGGGAAACGACGAATACGCGCACGGGAGATGCGGAGACTTATCAAAAAGACCACTCTCACTGATCAGCAAGCACACTTCATCTTGAAAGAGATGGAGAAATCAAACTCTTTACATGTTCAGGATCCAAATCTCGTTGGTCAGTTTGTTACAGCTTCTTGGCTTACAGATGAAGAAGCGCTGCAGAGGTGCTCTACATGAGCATTGTGAATTACATATGCCAGGTCATTGATGACCATCAGTGTGAAAAGTAATTCCCAATACCCATATCATACTAGTGTGATTACAAACTAATAAGAATTTCCCTTGCTCAGTTTTCTCGGCTTTGCGTATCCATTTTCAGAAGATGGCCGTCGGCAAATCATTTTACTCTGGCATACGAAAATTCCACCACTTCCTCCGTTACTTGCCGATTTGCCGATATTCGGGACTCGACTGACAATTGACTTTAACAATATACGACCTGAGAATGGAGATGTGTCAATTCTCACACCTGGGAGTAAGCTATATTCTGAATCTAATTCTGTCAATCAGCTCTCTGAAATGTATGGCACTCTTGGTTTCATTATAACCATAGACTCAGCTGGAGATACAAAACATGTTCTTGCAACAGTTAGCCATGTTATTGGAGATTCTGGAAGGCATTTATATGTTAAGAGCAATGGGGAACTTCTTCAGCTAACAACTATTCCTCAGTGTGACAGACTTGGTGGAAGACCAAAGTTTCGAAGAGACTGGTTGATCGATCGCCCAGTTCTAGATGAAATTTGTTTTCTTGATATTCCGGAAATGTTTGCGTCAAACTTTATTCCTTGCGTATTGGGTGATGTGAATTGTCATGAACTCGCGGGTCTTCCCTCCAACATAGCTGATGCTGATATTGAAATTAAACGAAGCCCTTCAGCAATGAACATTGACTGCTTTCGTGAGTGGGTCAAAAATAATAGCCCAGTTGAAGTACATAAAATCGGTGCAAGTACAGGTCGTACATCAGGCTTATTAGTGGAAATTTTACACAACCGTCGAGGTCTCAAACAAAAGCTACCATCTCGGAGACGAAGACGTATGGCAAATTCATCCTCGTCATCATCATCTTCAAGTGAATTAGACGAGACTCCTGCCTACTTGCTGCGCATTAAGTGGAAAAATGCATATGACTCATTTTCTGCACCTGGGGACTCTGGGAGCTTAGTTTTTGCAGAAAAAAATAGAAAGATAATTCCTCTTGGAATTCATTATGGATCAGACAGTGATGAGAGCTATGCTTATTTATTATATTCTTGGTTTTCAGAAATAGAGCTGGTACTGGATTGTGATGCATATTTCTGCAATCCAGCTAAATGCTCATCTGATATAGTTAACTTAATCTGATTATACAAGATCAAGATCTGTTAAGTCACTTCACAATGCCTGGGGACAGTTCAACCCACATCATACCAATTGCACACTGGTAACATCCATGTTTGGAACCAGTAATTACCAGTTAAGACGCCTGGTGACCACCCGCTTGGGCACCTGGGGACCTGCGAACGGGCGGCGACCTCCGTAGTGGTAGTTAATTTTGTAAGAAGCAGTCATTTGGGTGAGATTGGGCAATTGGTGAGGAATTACGTTAAGGTCAAGACTTGGTGGCTTTGTTTAAAGTTCTTTAGGGCTAGCTGGAGCACGTTACTCGTGACGCCCAGAGCTAAAATCCCACACGATCACAAAGCTGAGGAGTTTTACGCATTCAATCTTCCTCACCCTAGCCTGTCATCACATTACCGAACGGATTGTTCAGGTCTTGACTGGCATTCATCATTCGCAAGGTATATACTACAACTTCGCCGATTATGTATGATGACTGCTGACATTCTTGATTGTAGTGTTTCCTTCCTTACAAAGATGTCATATCAAAAGCCTGAGAAGGATTTTGGGGAGGGCCCAGTGCGTAAAAGCAGTTCTCGCTACGCATATATTAGTTCTAACCTACAATGCTTATATAGAAAATCCATAAAATTCGCATCACCCTGACTTCTCGCAAGGTTGCTTCTCTTGAGAAGGTCTGCCAGGAGCTCATCGAGCGTGCGCGCTCCAAGTCACTTCACGTTAAAGGGCCTGTTAGGCTTCCTACCAAAACGCTCACAATTTCTACTCGCAAAACACCCAATGGTGAAGGTAGTAAGACTTGGGATAGGTTTGAAATGCGGATTCACAAACGCTTGATCGAGTATGTTTTTGCTTCCTCTTCTTAGATCCCAGAATATTTCTATGGATACATGATTAATTTACGAATCTATCTGTTTTATAGCCTGCATGCCCCAACCGAGACTGTAAAACAGATCATCATAAACATTGAGGCTGGTGTGGAAGTTGAAGTTACCATTGCTGCATGACATGTTTCATTTTTCTCAATAAGCAGTTTACTGCCGCAGTGGTGTGTCCTACTCGAAATTCAACAGCAAATTATCCAATTAAACTCAAAAATGAACAGTACTAGGATACTTAGCAACATACATTTCCCTTAATATTTGCATCAGCGATCTATTAGTTGTAACTGTGGATTACGTTAGAGTAACCTTGGACATTCACCTCGAGAAAACGATAAACTGGAATCTTAGAAATATCATATAAAAATATCAAATAAGATATAAATATGTACATATGTAGGTACGTACGGATATATGTGGGACTTATAAATCAAAGCTGCACCATTCTGGCTTTGGCGGAACAAGGGGCATAAGTCCGTTTTTGAACGCGCCGTGCTCCTTTGAATAGCTATATGCCGTCTCAATTCCCGACGTATATTCACCAGGTGTGCCAATGGAACTTTTGAAGGCATCTGGAGTGGGTGCGCCATCAGGAAAGAAAATATGGACAAAAGTTGTTGGGTTATCTGGATGTTGATAACACGGCTCGTCATCGATGTATTTGACAACCTGGCCTTTCCATACCAAAAGTTTGTTGGTCATTGGATCGTGTTGGGTCTCTCCTGTGAGTTTAGGCAGAGGGTTTAATGTTATGATGTTTGCTGAAATAATAGTGCTAGGGGGCGGTACAGGGGAAGATAGTTGGTGGGTTGGCCGCGCGGTGGTTGTTTCCCTACCAAACATTGGCGATTGAGAAGAGAAAATGTTTGTGTGCGCTTGCGGATCACCAGAAGATATGGGTGTACTTGGGGTTAAAGTGGATGAGGGCTGTCTAAACGGATTCTTCATCTGACTAGGCTCGAGTGTGCCCGTAGCTACTCCCGTCCCGAATTGGCCCTGAATCGGACGCTGTAGTTGTCTATAGGAATGACTCTGATTTGAAACCCGAGTAAACGGCGAAATGGTATTTATTTTGACGCAGTCAAGTTGCTCTTGAGATACAGTTTGAGTCGTTGTTGATATTTGGCCAAATGCTGCCGGGGCTGACGTGTCACTTGTCGTCTGGCTGATAGCGGATGGGCGGCCAAATATTGGAGGACCAGATGCCGCTTGGCCAAATGCTATTTGTTGTTGTTGCTGTTGTTGTCCAGGTACAGAGGGTTTACCAAACCCATCTATGGCTTGTGTGGGTTGACGAAAGGGTGTCGTCCATTGAGAGGAAGCGGCAGGTGCCGGGGGTCCCGAGTGATGCATCCCTTTTCCATCTAGAAAATCAATGCGATTGGGATGCTGGTTTGTACCATTGATTAAATACTTTATTGCACCTTCAATATCATTCAGAATGGCATGGATTTGGTTCTCGGCAGCCGCGTACAGATTATTTGCATCTTCAATAGCTTTATCAGTAGTTCTGGTAATGATAGCGTCATAATGGATAGCGCGCATTTCCTCAAAGCTTTTCTCTCTTTCAGGCCCACCGAACAATTGGATCGGCATATTTTTACCTGGACCATAGGCAGAAAATATCCATTGAGGTCGGCCTTTCCCAAGAGTAAGGTCTGCTCTAATATCGTCAGGGGTGAGGACATATCTGTAAAAGTATTAGAACTTTGCAAGGTTCAAATCTGCAACTAATACTCGCTTTTTCCGTAGGTCTTCCGTTGGGCGGGAACCTGCGCCCATTTAGTCAGCGAGTCAGCACTCGAATAGAACATTGGCGCATAGAAATGTTCTACGAGTAGTGAATGGTACTGGGGAATAATGTGATATACGGCACAATTCTGGAGTGTATCCAGGCCAGACAAACACGCAGTACATATTCACAATACATAATCAACTAGGAAGGATGGGGAATATAGGTACCTCCAAAGACATTGCTTCTACTACCTTGAAATACGTTAAATCGATTACTAACGAGAGTCTGGCGGCCAGGATGCTCGTTTTTACAGCGATCTGACCTCAATTGAATCTTAGTAGCTTATTCGATAGAGGGCAGGATTTGCCTGAACTGTAGTTGAGTAACTAACGGAGGACCAAGGTTGTGTCTTACCTCCAAACCGGCATCTGCCTTCCTGATAATATGCACAAACTGCCATTTCTCAGGTACTATATGCAAACTTTCACCATTTACAGTCATGTGTAGGAGCTGTAGGTTGCATGCTGTTTACCTGCTATCTCAGACCATAGCGGAGTCCCGGGTCTGTGGGATGCCGTAATATTACGGTTGCCCGCAATGTAGTAACTCGTCATATAACGTAATTCCTCACCAAACGCCTGATCTCACCCAACGACCGCTTTTTACAAAATTACCACTACCTTCAAAATATAATTATTCAACAATGACATAGTAAAATTGATTAAGCTATTAGTTACAGCAAGTAGGAAAGAATTAAAACATAGAAATTAGTATGATTAATTCAAAAATTGATGAAGTGATCTAATAGCTTGATTTTTATGTGTAACTAACATTTCTGACTTCTTGAACTCTAAACTTTAAAGTGATCACAAAATCTGACTTTAATGTTTAAGAGCTCAATTGTAAGCTTGTTAAAGTCATAGAGAGTTTTTCTAGGGTTTTTTTGAGTGTTACAGATTCTGTAGAATATATAGATAAAGTAGAAGTTTCTGATGTCAGATCTTTTTAGTAAATTTTCTGTACAGTTTTCTTTTTCTGAATCTTTTTATACTGTAGAGTTCATTTTTCTTTGCTATCTATTTCAGAACTTTATATATCTTTCTAGCATTCTTCTCAATCTATCTATAAGTTGCAGTTGCAGCTTTAGTTATTTTTTTTTTAAATTTTTTTGCTAACCATTCTTCTTTATAAATTGCACACTACTTAGTGTGCTTAGTAATTAAATTTTCTTTCAATATAATTTATTAAAGCTTCTTCTGTTTGTTTTATATTCTTTTATTCTTCTATTTCTATTTTTTTTCTATAACTTTTGCTATCATTTTCATAATTTTTGAAGAAAAATAGAATTAAGCTTTATCAGCTTATTTAAAATTGAAAAAATTTAATTCTTTATCATATTGAAAATACTTCTTTTCAATCTTTAAAGCTGCAGCTAGATCATCTCTTTTAGTTTTTATAATTACTTTTTTCAATGCTATTTTTCTCTAAAGCATAATAGATTTATCTATGTCTAGATATGATGTTAACTCTCTTTAAATAGTTTAGTAGTTCGTCTATTCTCTGACATATAGTAAATGTAGTAGACTCTAGGGAAGTTTTCTGAATGTTTGAGATTTTAAACTGTATAAATTTAAGCACTCTATTAAAATCTAATAATTAAATATCAGTGTCTGTAACTATGAATAATATATTTTCTAATGTAAAAGCAAATGTGTATATAAACTTAAACAAGATGTAGAAATTTAATTTTATCATTTGAATAAAGTTCATATAATATATCTTATTGAATAAAATTGTTTAGTTTCTTTAAATAATTGTGCTGTATTTAGACTGATCATTGGAATCTCTTGGAGACAAGACTGAAAGTCAAATTCAATTGAGTTGATTTGAATCTCTTCTTAAAATTTAAAAGTTAGTTTCAATTCTCTTTCAAAATACTGATAAAAGTCTCATTCACTTTCCAGTGTTAAATTTTATATTTGAAGTTCCATCTCTAGATTTTTCTATCTCTAAAACAACTTCAATGTTTTTTCAAACTTTATTTGAAAGTGTATTTTTACACCAAAATATGACAAAATAGAAAAATTGGCACATTAAGTCAAAATGCATATATACATTTGTATATGATTTTGATCCTAAAAATAGTATAAATAAAATAAGATTATATTTTAAGTTTAGGGAAATTGGAAATCTCTATCTCTAATTAAATAATCTCAATATTTTTAAATTAAGTCTCATATTCATTTCTGTACTTGAAACTCAAGTTTCAGTAAGGCTGACTGTCAGGAATCAGAATCCCTTTGAGATCTCAATGAAACAAGACTGAATGTCAATTTCAATTGAGTTGATCCCAATCTCTCCCCAAAATTTTTGAAAGTTAGTCCTAATTCCATTATAAAATATGAATAAAAGTTCCATTTTCTTTCCAGTTTTAAATTTTATATTTTATGTTCCATCTCTAGATTTCTCTATCTCTAAAACAACTTTAATTTCTGTTCAAACTTTATTTTGAAAGTGTATTTTTACACCAAAATATAATGATAGAAAAATTGGCAAATCAAGTCAAAATGCATATAGACATTTGTTACTTGTATATGATTTTTATACTAAAAATAGTATTAAATAAGGTTTTATTTTAAGTTTAGGGAAATCAGAAATCTCTATCTCTAGTTAAATAATCTTAATCTTCTTGAACTAAGTTTTATTTCCATCTCAGTACTTGAAACTCAAGTCCCAGTCCCATATCAGTTTGAACTATCAAGTCCCAGTCCCATTTCAATTTGTCATTGGTGCATTAGAAATGGGATTTCAGTTGGGAAATCTCTGTTTCTGCAGTCAGTCTAGTTCCAGTTCCATTTCAGTTTGAACTATCAAGTTCCAGTCCCATTTCAATTCTCTATTTGTGTATTAGAGATGGGATCTCAGTTGGGAAATATCTGTCTCTGACTCTCTGTGGTCAGTCTAGCTGTATTGATTCAAAAAGTTCAACATTTAGAGACTGTAAATAGTATGTAGAGCTGAATGAAAGAATAAATAGTAGAATCTTATTCTTATCAGTAAAATTAATGAATTGTATATTAATATCAACACACAGCACTTGATATGGAACACCATCAATTCTAAGTCAAATTTAATGAAAATATATTCATTGAAAAGCTCTTGTTCCATTTAGTTGTTCTCTCCATTTTCACCTGGCAATTCACTGTGATGGGTGGGAAATCTCACATCAAAGACTGGATCACCAGTTTTGACTACTCAGACACTTTGTCTGATCACCACAACACAATCATCTCCACTACAGCTCTGAAACATTGAAAATTGATTTCTTTTGTGTTAAAGAATCTATACTCAAGAGGAAAATACTTGCATCCTCAAACTGATTAAGAATTCACTCAGTTTTGATGGCTCTCCATCAGTCTTTCACAGTGAAAGGCTTTCATGTTCCTGGCTTACTAAGTCTTAACCAGCAATGCCAAAGCTGAATTGAAGTCTGAACTTACATAATTATTCCACCAAACTCTATTATACCCCATCAAAGTGGTACAACTGCAGAACACAGCCAAAATTCTGGCAGAACATAGAAATTTGATCACAACTCAGTCAAAATAAAATCTTTTTAAATTCAATTGAATATCTCTGATTCTCTGATCAATTCTCTACCTTCCTGATATTCTATTGATTTTCTCCGGCCCTGATTTTCACTTCCAAAAAGTCAAAATCATTTGCCAGTTGGGGTCAGCAAAGATAAATTCAACCACAACTCAGTCAAAACAAAATCTCTTCAAAATTGATTTGATATTTCTGATTCTCCAATCAATTCTCTATCTTCCTGATATTCTATTGATTTTCTCCAGCCCTGATTTTCACTTCCAAAAAGTCAAAACCATTTGCCAGTTGGGGTCAGCAAAGATAAATTCAATCACAACTCAGTCAAAACAAGATCTCTTCAAAATTGATTTGATATCTCTAATTCTCTGATCAATTCTCTATCTCTCTGATATTCTATTGATTTTCTCCAGCCCCAATTTTCACTTCTGAAAAGTCAGAATCATTGACCAGTTGGGGTCAGTAAAGATAAATTCAATCACAACTTAAACAAAACAACTTTTCTCTCTTTCTTATTTGTTCCAAAGACATAGACTCTCCCAGTCACTGATCCCTGCATCCATCAGCTAGTGATGGTTAAAATTGCTCTTTTATAGTTAGAATAATCATACTAGACTTGTTGATTTTCTAGCAAAGAAGAAGACTTTTTACTTACATATCATAACAGTTTCTTTCAGTTCTTCTGCAGTTGGAATTTGACTTTGCCTTGAGATACATTAGTGTCTTGCAAAGAAGAATTAGGATTGTAATCTGAGATTGAAAAAGAACTGAGTTATCTTGAATCTTAAATATTGATTCTGAGATTCTGATAAAGTTGCTTGTCACTCTTCAAAAAGACAAGAAGAGGTTTTTTCCTGGGCTTGACTTCTCAGATAGACAGAAACAGCACATAAGTCATTCTTTTCTGTGATCAACATAAGATATAGGGACTAAAGTTACACTCTTGAAGTGTGAGACTAGTTGATATATTGAACTGAGATTACAAGTGGTTTACTTAAGTCTTCCCTATCAAAAAGACTTTCAGTTTGACAATTCTCTTGAAAAATTGTTAGTGGATTCTCTTATTCAAGTACATCTACTCATCTGGCTCCACAAGTTTTCTTTTGTTATCTTGCACCATCCCCCCCAGTTTCAGAGTAATCATAAAATAAACTGCTCTAATAGTTCAGGAATGTGCCATCTATTACTGCTATTTTTGTTCAGAAAATTTTGAAAACTTTGGCTTTTTCTTGACTGATTTCAGCCAAAACTTAGTCTTAGTTTCCCTGTTCTCTTGAAAAACTGGGATTAGTTTTTGGAAGATTTCTATTCTGGAAGGAAAAAATCTCTCTAGATAAGTTTCCAACTGAAACAAATCAAAATGTTCTCTATCTTCACTTCTCTCTCTCTGAATTCTGAACAAGAACTGAAATCAGTTCTCAAAGTTCTTGCACAAGAATGTCAGAAAGAAAATCATGTTCTTGTTCAAAAAGA